ATAATAGCCATTTCATGAGAGAATTTATCAAACAATTTGATGTTTTTGTTAATATTTTCGTGGTTTGAATGGATGTTTTTAGAAAGTTTAGACTCCGTAATAACAGCATCCAACTTAACTCCTTCGAGATCTGTAGACAGTTCACAAACAGTTCGCAAATTACTGTTTGTATCTTCAGCAGAACTAAAATCTGTATTTAGCCTGAGGTCATGCATAATCGTGCCAGTGAGTAATGTTGAGTTTGATTTCATACATACCAACTCGAAGATTTTGTTCACAGTCTCATATAATCCATCAATTTTCTTTACAGCAGCAGTCAGTTCTGTTGATAATCGGTCACAATTCGTGCATCTTTCATGATGATTCACCGTTTGAGAAGAACAATCTTTAAAGTAGCTTTCGACCTTGTCTTTATCACAAACTTCAATATTTGATGTGTTTAACTCAAGATCGCCGTTACTATGCACGTTTGTTAATAAAACGCCAGTTTCTAGCACGCCAGTTTCTAGCGTAAAAATCACCAATCGTTCCAGAATTTGGCCATCAACACCTTTAAATATCATAGAGTTGTTGTCCGCATACCATGTAAGCTTGATTTGATCATAAAGAAATACTTTAGCACTTCCCCCGGGCGAGTTCCAGACACCTCCAGCATCATATAATTCTGTCATAAAATGCTTCAAATTCTCAAAATCACCCAGCCATTTGATTTTGGCGTTGACATTACGTGTTAGATAGTCTTTAAACTTTGAAAAGACCATACAAAAGTGATTCTGACTGATATTATTTGTGTTTGTAGCAACACACTCATGCATAGTCGCCATGTTGTTCATGTATGAGCTCTTGAGTAATTATTGTTGAAATTAGTGCGACTTTCCCACATATGAATTACTAGTTTCTGAAGTAGGACGGAAGGGCAATGTCCTTTTTCACAACGTACACTTTGTGAGTGTTATAGACATGTGGGTGAGCGTCCATGCTCCCCCAACTTAGGTCGCCTGGAGCGGATATTTCGATACTATAAAAATCGTACGATTTGCCGCTGTTTAATTATTGCTAAAATTACACCCACTTTTCGCAAAGATGAATTACTGGTTTGTAGAGCAGTTGGGAAGTGCAATGTCTCTTCTCACATTGTACACTTTGTGAGTGTTATAGGGATGTGGTTGAGTGTCCCTGTTTTCTCAACTTAAGTCGCCTGCATCGGATATTTGAGAAACGTGAAAATCATACGACTTGCTTGTGTGTAACTATTGTTAAAATATCTCCCACTTTTCACACAGATGAATTACTGGTTTCTGAAGCACGAGGGAAGTGCAATGACGCTTTTCAAATTGTACACTTTGTGAGTGTTCTAGGCATGTGCGTGAGTGTCCCTGTTCGCCCAACTTAAGTCACCTGGAGAGGATATTTGGGAACCGTGAAAATCTCACGATTTGCTGGTGTGTAATTACAGTTAAAATTACTCCCACTTTTCGCACATATCAATTACTGGTTTCTAAAGCAATAGCGAAGTGAAATATCCCTTTTCAGAGATTGTACACTTGTGATGGTAGTAGGGATGTGGTTGAGTGTCCCTGTTCCCCCAACTTAGGTCGCCTACAGCGGATATTTGGGAACCGTGAAAATCTTGCGATTTGCTGGTGTGTAATTACTGTTAAAATTACTCCCACTTTCGCGCATATCAATTACTGTTTTCTAAAGCAATAGGGAAGTGCAATATCCCTTTTCTGATTGTACCCTTGTGAGTGTTGTAGGAATGTGGTTGAGTGTCCCTGTTCCCCCAGTTTAGTTCGCCTGCAGCGGATATTTGGGAATCGTGAAAATCGTACGATTTGCTGGTGTATCATTATTGTTAGAATTACGTCCACTTTTCGAACATATCAATTACTGGTTTCTAAAGCAATAGCGAAGTGCAATATCCCTTTTCAGATTGTACACTTGTGATGGTAGTAGGGATGTGGTTGAGTGTCCCTGTTCCCCCAACTTAGGTCGCCTACAGCGGATATTTGGGAACCGTGAAAATCTTGCGATTTGCTGGTGTGTAATTACTGTTAAAATTACTCCCACTTTCGCGCATATCAATTACTGTTTTCTAAAGCAATAGGGAAGTGCAATATCCCTTTTCTGATTGTACCCTTGTGAGTGTTGTAGGGATGCGGTTGAGTGTCCCTGTTGCCCCAGTTTAGTTCGCCTGCAGCGGATATTTGGGAACCGTGAAAATCGTACGATTTGCTGGTGTATCATTATTGTTAAAATTACGTCCACTTTTCGCACATATCAATTACTGGTTTCTAAAGGAATAGCGAAGTGCAATATCCTTTTTCAGATTGTACACTTGTGATGGTAGTAGGGATGTGGTTGAGTGTCCCTGTTTCCCCAACTTAGGTCGCCTACAGCGGATATTTGGGAACCGTGAAAATCTTATGATTTGCTGGTGTGTATTTATTGTTAAAATTGCTGCTATTTTCCGCACAGCTGAATTAGTGGTTTCTAAAGTAATAGGGAAGTGCAATATTCCTTTTCACATTGTACACTTTGTGAGTGTTGTGGGCATGTGGGTGAGTGTCCCTCTTCCCTCAACTTAGGTCGCCTGGAGCGGATATTTGGGAACCGTGAAAATCTTACGATTTTCTGGTGCGTAATTATTGTTAAAATTACTCCCCATTTTCGCGCTGATGAATTACTGGTTTCTAAAGCATAGGGGAAGTGCAATGTCCCTTTTTACATTGCACACTTTGTGAGCGTTCTAGGCATGTGGATGAGTGTCCCTGTTCCCCCAACTTAGATCGCCAGGAGCGAATATTTGGGGACCGGGAGAATCTTACGATTGCTGGTGTGTAATTATTGTTAAAATTACTCGCACATTCACACAGATCAATTACTGGTTTCTAAAGCAGGAGGGATGTGCAATGTCCCTTTTTCACATTGTACACTCTGCGAGTATTGCAGCCATGTGGGTGAGTGTCCCTGTTCCCGCAACTTAGGTTGTATGGATCGTATATTTGGGAAACGCGAAAACCTTATGATTTGCTGGTGTGTAATTATTGTTGAAATGAGTGCAACTTTTCACACAGATGAATTACTGGTTTCTGAAGCAGGAGGGAAGTGCTATATCCCTTTTCACATTGTACACCTTCTGCGTGTTGTAGACATGCGGGTGAGTGTCCCAGTTCCCCCAACTTCGGTCGCATGGTGCCGATATTTGGGAACCGTAAAAAGCTTACGATTTGAAGGTGTGTAATTATTGTTGAAATGAGTGCAACTTTGCACGCGGATGAGTTACTGGTTTCTAAAGCAGGAGGGAAGTGCAATGTCCCTTTTCACATTGCACACTTTGTGAGCGTTGTAACCATGTGGGTGAGTGTCCCTGTTCCCCCAACTTAGATGGCTTGGAGTGGACATTTGGGAACCATGAAAATTTTACGATTTGCCGGTGTGTACTTATTCTTAAAATTACTCCCACTTTGCACACAGATGAATTACTGGTTGCTGAAGCAGGAGGGAAGTGCAATGTCCCTTTTCACATTGTACACTTCGTGAGTGTTGTAGCCATGTGCGTGAGTGTCTGTGTTCCCCCAACTTAAATCACCTGGAGGGGATATTTGGAAAACGTGAAAATATTACGATTTGCTGTTGTGTGATTATTGTTAAAATTACTCCCACTTTTCAAACAGATGAGTTACTGGTTTATAGAGCAGGCGGGAAATGCGATGTCCCTTTTCACATTGTACACTTTGTGAGTGTTGTGGGCATGTACGTGCGTGAGGGTCCCTGTTCGCCCAACGTAAGTCATCTGGAGAGGATATTTGGGAACCGTGAAAATCTTACGATTTGCTGGTGTGTAATTATTGTTAAAATCACTCCCACTTTTCGCGCATATCAATTACTGTTTTCTAAAGCAATAGGGAAGTGCAATATCCCTTTTCTGATTGTACCCTTGTGAGTGTTGTAGGGATGTGGTTGAGTGTCCCAGTTCCCCAAGTTTAGTTCGCCTGCAGCGGATATTTGGGAACCGTGAAAATCGTACGATTTGCGGTGTGTCATTATTGTTAAAATTACGTCCACTTTTCGCACATATCAATTAGTGGTTTCTAAAGCAATAGCGAAGTGCAATATCACTTTTCAGATTGTACACTTGTGATGGTAGTAGGGATGTGGTTGAGTGTCTCTGTTTCCCCAACTAAGGTCGCCTAGAGCGTATATTTGGGAACCGTGAAAATCTTACGATATGCTGGGGTGAAGCAGGAGGGAAGTGCAATGTCCCTTTTCACATTGTACACTTTGTGAGCGTTGTAAGCATGTGGGTGAGTGTCCCTGTTCCCCCAACTTAGATCGCTTGGAGTGGACATTTGGGAACCATGACAATCTTACGATTTGCCGGTGTGTAATAATTGTTAAAATTACTCCCACTTTTCACATAAATGAATTACTGGTTTCTAAAGCAGTAGGGAAATGCAATGTCCCCTTTCACGTTGTACACTTTGTGGATGTTGTAAACATGTTTGTGAGTGTCTCCCAACTTAGGTCGCCTGCAACGGATATTTGGTAACCTGTGAAAATATTACGCAAATCTCTCTTTTCAAATTGCAAAACTCTCTTTTCAAATAGGAGAAGTGTAGTTTCAGATCCCAAAACTATGTTTTCATATGGCAAAGCTCTCTTTTCAAATAGCTCAACTCTCTTTTCATATAAGAAAAGTATGTTTTCAAATCCCAAACTTTATTTTCATATGGCAAAAATCTTGTTGAAATGGCAAGGCTCTCTTTTCAGATGGCGAAACGCTCTATTCAAAAAACCGAACTCCCTTTTTAAATGGCAAAGCCATCTTGCCATATGGCGAAACTCTCTTTTCAAATGGCAAGACTCTCTTTTCAAATAGCAAAACAGTCATTTCCAATAGCAAAACTCTGTTTCAGATAGCAAAACTCTCATTTCAAATAGTAGAGCTCACATTTCAAAATGCAACACTATCTTTTCACATGGCAAAACTCTCTTTCAAATGGCAGAACTTCCTTTTCAAATAGCCGAACTCCCTTTTTAAATGGCAAAACTCTCTTTTCAAAAACCGAACTATCTTTTCAAACGGAAGAATTCCCTTTTCAAATAGCTGAACTCCCGTTTCAAATGGCAAAGTATTTTTTCAGATGGCAAATCTGTTTTATCAAATGACAAGACTCTCTTTTCAAATAGAAAAACTCTCTTTTCAAATGGCAAAACTCCTTTTTCAAATAGCCGAACTCTCATTTCAAATGGCAAAACTCTCTTTTCAGATGGCAAAACTCTCCTTTCAAATGGGACAACTCTGTTTTCAAATGGCAAGACTATCTTTTCAAATGCAAAACTCTCTTTTCATTTGGCGAAAATCTCTTTTCAAATGGTTGAACTCTCTTTTCAAATGTAAGAACTCTTTTTTCAAATAGCTGAACTCTCTTTTCAAACAGGAAAACTATGTTTTGACATGGTGAAACTATGCTTTCAGATGGCAAAACTCTCTTTTCAATTGCCAAGACCCTCTTTTCAAATAGAAAAACTCTCTTTTCAAATGGCAAAACTCCTTTTTCAATTAGCCGAACTCTCATTTCAAATGGCAAACCTCTTTTTCAAATAGCTGAACTCCCTTTTCAAATGGCAAAACTCTCTTTTCAGACGGCAATACTCTCCTTTCAAATGGGACAACTCTGTTTTCAAATGGCAAGACTATCTTTTCAAAAGCAAAACTCTCTTTTCATTTGGCGAAAATCTCTTTTCAAATAGTTGAATTCTCTTTTCAAATGTAAGAACTCCCTTTTCAAATAGATGAACTTTCTTTTCAAACAGGAAAACTATGTTTTGACATGGCGAAACTATGTTTTCAGATGGCAAAACTCTCTTTTCAAATGCCAAGACTCTCTTTTCAAATAGCAAAACACTCTTTTCAAATAGAAAAACTCCCTTTTCAAATAGCCTAATTCTCTTTTCAAATGGAAGAACTCCCTTTTCAAATAACTGAACTCTCTTTTCAAATGGCAAAACTCTCTTTCCAGATGCCAAAACTCTCTTTTGAAATGGACGATCTCCCTTTTGAATTGGCAAAGCTATCTTTTCACATCGAAAAACTCTCTTTTCAAATGGCAAGACTGTCTTTTCAAATGGCCAAACTCCCTTTTCAAATTGTCGAACTCTCATTTCAAATGAAAGAACTCCCTTTCCAAATGGCTGAACTCCCTTTTCGAAAGGCAAAAGTATCTTGTCAAATGGCAAAACTCTCTTTCCAAATTGCAAAACTCTCTTTACACATCCCAAAAATATGTTTTCATATGGCAAAACTCTCTTTTCAAGTAGCTGAACTCTTTTTTCAAACGGTAAATCTATCTTTTGACATGGCAAAGCTCTGTTTTCGGATGGCAAATCTCTCTTTTCAGATGCCAAAACTATCTTTTCAAATGGCAATACTCCCTTTTCAAATGGCAAAACTCTCTTTTCAAATGAAACAACTCTCCTTTTAAATGGCGAAACTGTCTTTTCAAATTGGCAAGACTCTCTTGTCCAAAAGCAACACTCTCTTTTCAATTGACAAAACTACCTTTTCAAATAGCCGGACTCTCTTTTCAAATGTAAGGGCTCCCTTTTCAAATAGCTTAACTCTATTTTCAAACGGGAAAACTATGTTTTCACATGGCAAAACTATTTTTTCACATGGCAAAACTCTCTTTTAAAATTGCAAAACTCTCTTTTCAAATGCCAAGACCCTCTTTTCGAATAGCAAAACTTTCTTTTCAAATGGCAAAAGTCCTTTTTCAAGTAGCGGAACCCTCTTTTCAAATGGAATAACTCCCTTTTCAAATATCTGAACTCAGTTTTCAAATGCAAAACTCTCTTTTCACATCGAAAAACTGTCTTTCCAAATGGCCGAACTCCCTTTCCAAATGGCAAAACTCCCTTGGCAAATAGCCGAACTCTCTTTTCAAATGAAAGAACTCCCTTTTCAAATACATGAACTCCCTTTTTAAATGGCAAAAGCATCTTTTCAAATGGTAAAACTGTCTTTCTAAATAGCAAAACTCTCTCTTCAGATAGGAAAATTATGTTTTCACATCCCAAAATTATATTTTCGTATGGCAAAACTCTCTTTTCAAATAGCTGAACTCTCTTTTCAAACGGTAAATCTATTATTTGACATGTCAAAGCTCTGTTTTCGGATGGCAAAACTCTCTTTTCAGATGCAAAAGCTCTCTTTTCAAGTGGCAATACTCCTTTTTCAAATGGCAAATCTCTGTTTTCAAACGGCAAAACTATCTTTTCAAAAAGCAAAACTCTCTTTTCATTTTGCGAAACTCTCTTTTCAAATAGTTGAACTCTCTTTTCAAATGTAAGAACTCCCTTTTCAAATAGCTGAACTCTCTTTTCAAACAGGAAAACTATGTTTTCACATGGCGAAACTATGTTTTCAGATGGCAAAACTCTCTTTTCAAATGGCGAAACTCTCTTTTCAAATAGAAAAGTTCTCATTTCAAAAAGAAAAAGTATGTTTTCACATCCCAAAACTATGTTTTCATATGGCAAAAATATCTCTTAAAATGACAAGGCTCTCTGTTTAAACGGCAAATCTATCTTTTCAAATAGCAAAACTCTCTTTTCAAATGGCAAAACTGCTTTTTGAAATAGCCGAACTCTGTTATCAAATGGCAAAACTCTCTTTTCTGATTGCAAAACTCTCTTTTCAAATAGCAAAGTTCTCATTTCAAATAGAAAAAATATGTTTTCACATCCCAAAACTATGTTTTCATATGGCAAAAATCTCTCTTAAAATGACAAGGCTCTCTTTTCAAACCGCAAATCTATCTTTTCAAATGGCAAAACTCTCTTTTCAAGTGGCAATACTCCCTTTCCAAATGGCAAAACTCTGTTTTCAAAAGGCAAAACTATCATTTTACAGGGCAAAACTCTCTTTTAAAATGGCCGAGCTCTCTTTTCAAATGGCAGAACTCCTTTTTCAAATAGCCGACCTCCCTGTTCAAATGGCAAAACAATCTTTTCAAATGGCAAAACTCTCTTTTCAAATGGCAAGACACTTTTTTCGAATAGCAAAACTCTCTTTTCAAATAGCAGGACTCCATTTTCAAATGGCAAAACTATCTTTTCACATGGCAAACTCTCTTTTCAAATTTCCGAACTCTCTTCAAAATGGTAGACCTGTCTTTTCAAATAGCCGAACTCCCTTTTCAAACGGTAAATCTATCTTTTGACATTGCAAAGCTGCCTCTTTTTTCGGATGGTAAAACTCTCTTTTCAGATGACAAAACTCTCTCTATAAAATTGGCAGAAATCCCTTTTCAAATGGCAAAACTATCTTTTCACATGGCAAGACTCTCTTTTCAAATAGCCGAAATCTCTTTTAAAATGTAAGAATTCCCTTTTCAAATAGCTGAACTCTCTTTTCAAACGGGAAAACTATGTTTTCACATGGCAAAACTCGCTTTTAAAATGGCAAAACTCTCTATTCAAATGGCAAGACCCTTTTTTCAAATGGAAAAACTCTCTTTTCAAATGGCAAAACTCTCTTTTCAAATAGCCGAACTCTCATTTCAAACGGGAAAACTATGGTTTCGAAAAACTCCCTTTTCAAATAGCCGAACTCCCTTTTCAAATGGCAAAACTCTCTTTAAAAATGGCTAAACTCCTTTTTGAAATAGCCGAACTCTCCTTTCAAATGGCAAAACTCTCTCTTCAGATGACAAAACTATCTTTTCAAGTAGCAAAACTCTCTTTTCAAATTGCAAAACTCTGTTTTCAAATGCCAAAGCTCCGTTTTCAGATAGTCGAACTCTCTTTTCAAATGTAAAAACTCCCTTTTCAAATAGCTGAACTCTCTTTTCAAACATGAGAACTATGTTTTCACATGGCGAAACTATGTATTCAGATGGCAAAACTCTCTTTTCAAATGGCAAAGTAGTAATATAGGGGCCAATCGGGCCCCTTTTTTGGGGCGGCGCGGGGCGGCGCATCATCATTAGCATACGTCATAATTACATGCAATGACGTCACGCGGGTAGGATCAGGCAAGTAATGACGTCACGCGGGCGAGCTTAAACACGATCGGGCGAAACTTGCTGACTACGCATTTTTTAGCGTCCCACACGTGTGTTGAATAGTTTGTGTCCCTCGCATGGCAAAATTGTTATCGAAATTAATATATAGCAGAGTTATAGCCGTATCTTTGCTCGGAAGAGATAAATTTCCACATGTGTATTGAAGGATTTTTTGTATGTTCCATAGAGAGGAATCTATTCGTCACAAAAATCAAGACATATTTTAAACTAAGCAGTTCCTAATCCCGAGTTGTCAAAGTCCTTGTTATGGTCAATATTTGCATGTTGTTCAAGATTATTTAGTAATCCTCCTACATACATATATACTGTTAAGATGATCATAAAAAAGCTTATCAAGAATATAAGTTAGAATTGGAACAGTTGTAATATATTTTGCGATAGAAACATGTACTCGTTATATACGTTGTTATGTCTTGCTAAGTCATTAGGAGGTGTAGGTAATTAAGGGGATTACGGCAATACGAATTTGCATGGCTAAGTGTATCCCAATGGATAGGTAGGGATTATTTATAGCGCAGATGTATGCCTTAAAATCGGGCGCGATGCTTTGTGGGCAAAAATTTACACAAGAATTTCGATTTAAGACACATTTATTTCTTTAAGTACTACAAAGTTAATAATTCTTGTCTGTATAAATATAATATTATCCATTATTGTGTTTCGCTTTTGTTTCTAACTTTAACCAATCCATTGAGCCATCATTCATTTCTGTATTGTCCACATTCTTTGCAGATTTTGTACTTGATTTCGTTCGTTTCCTGGAGGAGTTTGGTTGAAGAATGGGTATATTTTTTATCCTGCTTTTATTCCACTTTGACTGCTTTTTATTGTTCCCAATTAATCTGTACAATTCTGTTAAAACGTTTTCCAAGTTTAAAGCTGTTGGCTTAGCACGAATAAGATAAGGTTGTCTTTCTTGGAACGAAAGTTCATGGACGTCTCCCAAATGGTTTGCCAATCTTTTTAAAGCTCGCTTGCCGCAGATGGGACAATCTTTACACTTCCAAGGCATAATGTCAAATGATAAATGTCAACTGATTCCTAATATTAAATAGTTGTGGCCCTAAAGGCCGAAGGTTTGCTGTGACTTGGGAAAGGGTTAGAGAAATGGGTTAGGGTAAAATAGCTACCGCACAGGATCGATCTTATTTTACTTTTATAAATCAAACACAAACAACCATTAAGAGTCAATGTCACTAGGATACCGTGTGTTTCTGAAAAGTCTTTTCAAAAGAAATTTTCTCTTGTCAATAGCGGCCTCTAATGCTTCCCGATGGTGGAAATTATCATCGTTGACAAAGACATCCCTGGTTTCCATAATCTTTTTGTGTATTGGATCTCTCTTTAGTTGTCTTATCCATAGTAAACGTTGCAAATAAATATTCTGCAAATCTTTACGAAGTTTTGGTACGATAAGTAAATATGCCTTGTCTTTAGAAAAAGGCCCTTGGGGCCAATGCGAAAAGTGGCTCATCCCAACCAATCACAAGCCGGGCCACAAGGCCGTAGAAAAGGCCCTTGAGGCCACTTTTCGCATTGGCCCCAAGGGCCTTTTTATGGCCTTGTGGCCCGATTCTCTAGAATTCTATTGGTGGGGAGGTTTTATGGGAAGTGTCCCAACCAATCACCAATCGGGACACAAGGCCGTAGAAAAGGCTCTTGGGGCCACTTTTCGCATTGGCCCCAAGGGCCTTTTTTATGGCCTTGTGGCCCGATTCTCTAGAATCCTATTGGTGGGGCGGTTTGATGGGAAGTGTCCCAACCAATCACCAATCGGGACACAAGGCCTTAGAAAAGGTTCTTGGGGCCACTTCAAAAAATGTGATGTTGTTTAAAAAATTGATCATTCGCCGGTTGGTTGTGGTTGGAGTTGTTTCAACCTAACTATATACGAAGGAAATACAGTACTGTTGGAAACCTACTACAGATTTCAGTGTAAAGATGAAAAGAATGAGAACGGTTGCAGACTCTGATAGTGCTACATCAGAGAGTGATGTTGAGAATTCGTATAACACTGACAACGAAGTGGAAACTGATTCTGCGTCAGAGAGTGATTCTGATAATGTAGATGATACTAGTAGTGAAGTAGGTGATGGATACGAAAGCGATCCGTGGGCTCCTTTAAAAGCTGAAGCAACCCAACAAAATTTATCGGAATTCGAAGAACTAACGCAGAATTTCACTGCATAAGGTTTTGACGAAAACGAAGCTAAAGACAAGGCATATTTACTTATCGTACCAAAACTTCGTAAAGATTTGCAGAATATTTATTTGCAACGTTTACTATGGATAAGACAACTAAAGAGAGATCCAATACACAAAATTAAAGATTATGGAAACCAGGGATGTCTTTGTCAACGATGATAATTTCGACCATCGGCAAGCATTAGAGGCCGCTATTGACAAGAAAAAATTTCTTCTGAAAAGACTTTTCAGAAACACACGGTATCCTAGTGACATCGACTCTTAATGGTTGTTTGTGTTTGATTTATAAAAGTAAAATAAGATCGATCCTGTGCGGTAGCTATTTTACCCTAACCCATTTCTCTAACCCTTTCCCAAGTCACAGCAAGCCTTCGGCCTTTAGCGCCACAACTATTTAATATTAGGAATCAGTTGACATTTATCATTTGACATTATGCCTTGGAAGTGTAAAGATTGTCCCATCTGCGGCAAGCGAGCTTTAAAAAGATTGGCAAACCATTTGGCAGACGTCCATGAACTTTCGTCCCAAGAAAGACAACCTTATCTTATTCGTGCTAAGCCAACAGCTTTAAACTTAGAAAACGTTTTAACAGAATCGTGCAGATGAATTGGGAACAATAAAAAGCAGTCAAAGTGGAATAAAAGCAGGATAAAAAATATACCCATTCTTCAACCAAACTCCTCCAGGAAACGAACGAAATCAAGTACAAAATCTGCAAAGAATGTGGACAATACAGAAATGAATGATGGCTCAATGGATTGGTTAAAGTTAGAAACAAAAGCGAAACACAATAATGGATAATATTATATTTATACAGACAAGAATTATTAACTTTGTAGTAGTTAAAGAAATAAATGTGTCTTAAATCGAAATTCTTGTGTAAATTTTTGCCCACAAGCATCGCGCCCGATTTTAAGGTATACACATGCGTTATAAATATTCCCTATCTATCCATTGGGATACACTTAGTCATGCAAATTCGTATTGCCGTAATCCCCTTAAATACCTACACCTCCTAATGACTTAGCAAGACATAACAACGTACATAACGAGTACATGTTTTTATCGCAAAATATATTACAACTGTTCCAATTCTAACTTATATTCTTGATAAGCTTTCTTATGATCATCTTAACAGTATATATGTATGTAGGAGGATTACTAAATAATCTTGAACAACATGCAAATATTGACCATAACGACGACTTTGACAACTCGGGATTAGAAACTGTTTAGTTTAAAATATGTCTTGATTTTTGTGACGAATAGATTCTTCTCTATGGAACATACAAAAAATCCTTCAATACACATGTGGAAATTTATCTCTTCCGAGCAAAGATACGGCTATAACTCTGCTATATATTAATTTCGATAACAATTTTGCCATGCGAGGGACACAAACTATTCAACACACGTGTGGGACGCTAAAAAATGCGTAGTCAGCAAGTTTCGCCCGATCGTGTTTAAGCTCGCCCGCGTGACGTCATTACTTGTCTGATCCTACCCGCGTGACGTCATTGCATGTAATTATGACGTATGCTAATGATGCGCCGCCCCGCGCCGCCCCAAAAAAGGGGCCCGATCGGCCCCTATATTATGACTTGGCAAAACTCTCTTTTCAAATGGCCGAACACCCTTTTCAAATGGCAAAAGTCTCTTTAAAAATGGCAAAACTCCTTTTTGAAATAGCCGAACTCTCTTTTCAAATGGCAAAACTATCTTTTCAGATGGCAAAACTATCTTTTCAAGTAGCAAAACTCTCTTTTCAAATTACAAAACTCTCTTTTCAAATGCCAAAGCTCCCTTTTCAAATAGTCGAACTCTCTTTTCAAATGGCCGAACTCCCTTTTCAAACGGCAAACTCTCTTTTCAGGTGGCAAAACTCTCCTTTCAAATGTTAAAACTCTCTTTTCAAATGACAAGATTCTCTTTTCAAATAGCAAAACTCTCTTTTCAAATGGCAAAACTCCTTTTTCAAATAGCCGAACTCTTTTTTCAAATGGAAAAACTATCTTTTCAAATGGAAAAACTCTCTTTTCAAATGGCAAGACATTTTTTTCAAATAACAAAACTCTCTTTTCAAATGGCAGAACTCCCTTTTCAAATGCCAAAACTATCTTTTCACATGGTAAAACTCTCTTTTCAAATGGCAAATCTCCCTTTTCAAATTGCCGAACTCTCTTTGAGATGGTAGAACTGTCTTTTGAAATAGCCGAACTCCCTTTTCAAACGGAGATCTATCTTTTGGCATGGCAAAGCTGTGTTTTCGGATGGCAAAACTCTCTTTTAAGACGCCAAAACCCTCTCTTTTAGCGGTCACGTAGCTCCAACTCAAGCCTCAAGACGATCATTGTACGTGTGATCCTACACTTCTTCAATATCGTCTAATTTCCCTATTCCACAGCCTCTTCTCCAACTTTCAACTTACCACTGTGGGTACATAAGGGGTATGCCTCTACTGTTCAGATGCACTGTTGACATCGTGATCTTTACCTTGTGTAGTCACCTCAACCTTAATTTCATTGGATACCGAGAAGTTTATCGCTTCGCACTTCCTGTTTTTTTTAGACCCCTTGCGACAGCCACATATTTTACCAATTTTCACCATTCAAGCTCGACTTTCTACCTTATGATAACAACACATATTATCCACCGTTTGATCCTGAGTATAACAGAGACCAACAGAAGGACATATCCATGCTCTTTCCGGTGGGTATTGATTGTTCAGGCTTGACTATCACACACGATGCCATCGTATTATCAACCAACTCAGCGTGCCCACCAATGTAATATTCACTGTTCCCTTTGAATACCCAGCAAGCTCCACTTGCACCGTCACTCTGATATGTGCCGAGGAAGTAACAATTCTGAAGCCTAGTCAAATCGATAGTTTCGGCTGTGTGAATTTACCGTTGGACTGCTTCACATAGATTGACACACGTAGAACCAGTTCTAGGTTCGCATTGGTGATGTCCGCGAGAAGGGGAGTGTCAGACTTGATATTAATTGATTCCAAATTGATGTTAGTCAAACTGTTAATAGTATCGATTCTCCATGAAGGTGGAATCTGATCGTGACAGTAAGCGTGATACTTAGTAGCAGCAATTGCAACTCAACGATAACCCCACACCCCCACATCCACGATAACCCAGTGGGCACACGACGTCGTTTCGACGTCGAAATTTGGTTGAAATGTGGTCGGTACGTCGATCGACCAAATATCAACGTCGTTTCGACGTCATTTTGACGACGTGTTGACAACGTTGGAAAAACAACGTCATTTCGACGTCGTTTCGATGATGTGTTAACAACGTCGAAAATAACCACGTTGTTTCGACGTCATATTTTACGACGTGTCATCGACGTCGAAAAATCAATGTCGTTTCGACGTCATATTTTACGACGTGTCATCGACGTCGAAGAAGCAACGTCGTTTCGACGTCATATTTTACGACGTGTCATCGACGTCGAAGAATCAACGTCGTTTCGACGTCATGTTTTACGACGTGTCATCGACGTCGAAGAATCAACGTCGTTTCGACGTCATATTTTACGACGTGTCATGGACGTCGAAGAATCAACGTCGTTTCGACGTCATGTTTTACGACGTGCTATCGTACGTACCGTCATTTTGATTACTAGTATCAGTATTAAGGAGGCTCCCTATGTACAGTAGCCTGCGGCATGATCGCGTGCAGTGCGTGGACTGTCCACCACCTTTAGCCAGTGCGTGGACTGTCCCACCCAACCTCTGTACTACGATCGATGTCAAAACTACTCAAAACACTTAATTGTTATCTATTGTATAGCAACTTTCAAACCTTTCAGAAAGTCGTCCAGCGACACTCATGTTTCTACAAGTTTAATTAAACAAAAATATTCTGGCAGTTTTATACTTGTTTATAATGATATGGGCGGCCAATTCTAATCTTCTGAGGGGGGGGCTAGCCTGCATCGCAGACTATTTATATTGGGTTCATATATAGTCTGCTAATCAGCGACAGAAAGCTTGTATGGTCACGTGGATTTCCCGAGAAATCGTGGGACGCATTCTGATTGGTCGGCTTATAATTATGCCAAATTAATTAAAATTTCAGAATATTTGATCATATTTCAAAAGTTTTACAAACAACATGGCGTCGTTCATTGAACCATCCTTGCTTGAAGGAGAGCATTTTTCAGAGGCAATCCGTATTGTATGCTGTTTTTTTCAAGTGGAAAGTCTTCACCGAGAGCAAATAGAGGCACTCAAAGCGTTCTTCCTCGGAAAGAATATATTCTTTAGTGCTGGCACAGGTTACGGTATTAAATCTTTAGTGTTTCAAGCGGTTCCTCTCCTTGCTGATCTCCTCGACGAACAAGTCGTTGGAAGCAGCATTGCGATTATCATATGTCCTTTGGTGTCTCTCATGCTCGATCAAGTCGCGTATTTGAAGTCGTTAGGACTGAATGCTGCTGATGTATATAATGGTCAAGACGAGGAATCAAAATCAAATATTCTGAAATTTTAATTAATTTGGCATAATTATAAGCCGACCAATCAGAATGCGTCCCACGATTTCTCGGGAAATCCACGTGACCATACAAGCTTTCTGTCGCTGATTAGCAGACTATATATGAACCCAATATAAATAGTCTGCGATGCAGGCTAAGGGGGGGCAGGATAGTAAATAAATTCTTCGACGTTTCGAGCGAAGGCCCTTTGTCAAGAAGTTAGTGAGGAATAAACGCGTAGGCCAGAGCGGGGCTTGCAAATTTGCGAAAAATTACGTATTTTAAAAATTTACGTAAACATGAATTTATTTAAAAATTTACGTAAACATGACAAAGTGACACCGCGTGAAAAAAAGCCCCCAAAAATTTGCAAGGCCCCTCATATTAAAAAAGCGCGGGGCCTCTGTTACTTGCTCAAATTGCGTCCACAAATCAGATTATACTGGAGCTTCGTCATGGATCACGCTTAACCAATGAGAGCCGTCTACTGCTGTTGTCTACGCAGAGGTTCGCTCCTTTGTGGACCAATAGTAAGTCAGAATATAAACCGGAAGCTCGCGTCTCATAGCTACCATGATTGGCATGATGTATCATATTAATATGTCATGTGTATTACGCTGTGAAAGTAGGAGCAATCGCAATTCGCAAATCTATTCAAATTTCAAAGCAATCAAAGCATTTTAAAAGTATTTTTAAAAGTGATTTGTGGAGATATTGTGTATCTCATTTTAAAGTGAAGAGAGGTGAAAAGAAAAGACAACGTTTACGCTATCAAACGGTAAGTTTTATTTATGAAATTTTATTGTGTTTACTCATATTAGTTGCTGCTGCGCGTTCCAAATTATTTGTGAATGTAACTTAGATATTTTTTTGTCAATTTGGTATATTCGACCGATTATTATTAAATAATAGGCCTCGCTGTTTTTACTGTGCTCCTGCTGTTTTACTGGGGAAAGCTAAAGCTAAGCAAATTTTAGTGAACAATTTTCCAGCTTGGCCATGACAGATACAAACACATGTTTTATTGTTTGCTTTGCTAAGTGCGCTCAAATATGTTATTTAATATCTGCTCCTCTGTGTGCTATAAATATTAGCGAATAATATACGGTCATTATAGAGGAAACAAACGTTTTATCAATGCTTTTAATAGCCAAATTGGCTGTATATTTATACTAATTTATATCTGTATAAAATGTTGATGTAGTCGCTTCCCCTCATTTCATGGATGCGCTTTGGGGAAACTGGCACCTAAATGACCATTTATAGTCATTATAGAATTTAATAGAAACTCATATATATAATGATAATTTGTAAAATGCTACCCTTGGGAATCAGCGTTTCACGCTTTCAATTCATGATTATTTTCAACTCAATTTTGAGGGCCACAAATTTATCAGTAGTTTTTTTTACTTATACTGTCAAGTGTTACCCTCGTGAAATAAAGTCTATACTGTACTATACTGCCAATTAATTTAGGACCAGTATTGAGTAGGAATCAGTCAGCTCATCCGTTGAGGGGGTGCGGGTAATAATTGAAATGGCCTAATCATAGGTGGCAGTAAAGCAGTGATATATTATCAGCCTAGTCCCAGTCGTTCTGAAGCAAGCGCGAGAAAAAAGTGGATGTAGTACGAGACTGGGACCTAGGTGTGACGTCACCGCTCAAGGTGCTTCAGAACGCCTAGCAGATTTCAGTATTTTTAATATGGCGGAAAATTTATATATACAAGTAACCTTTTAATTATAAATACGACAATGTTCGTTTATCATGTGCATGTTCGATGTCTACATAACAAAATCAAACCATATTAAAAATGTGCTCAACTAAAAAAATTTATATACAAATTTACGATACCGAGTTTGAGCAATCGTTGATGTTATTTATATGCTCGCAAGTTGTGATCAACACTAGACCATACTGGTATACACAACTACGCTTTCTACTTGACAGGTTTAAATTGCTGAGGTTATTGGAAATATTTGCCTGACATGACGGTGTTGTCAAAACATTTTTAGTCGGAGACTCGGCATAATTTTCAAGCTTCTAGATAGCATTTAATATGGCTATATATTTTAGTAAACACGAGTCATATTTAGCCTGTTATTCCATTCTGACCGTATGGCAGCGAAACGTAGCCTATTTCATTGTTCCGACAGCATTAGAGCAAAACTAATTATTTAATTATAAATGCAAAGGAAATTTCCATAACATTTTCCATTTACAAATGAGGTATGCTTGGTAACCAGGCCAGGGACCACTTTTTTGAAATCAGGGACCATTTTACCGAAATCTGCTAGGCTCTCTCGCTGAAGCGTTCCGCACAGCACACCCAAGCATAAAACTTTTAAGACTTATTTAAATATATCGAAGCAGCGAATAGAGAGAGAGAGCCTGGGACTAGGCTGATATATTATATATCAGACCTGCCAACTTTTAAAATGCTAAATCTGGAGATTTTAAAATGGCGATATACCTGTATATAATATAAGTCAGTCATTTTGAATTTAACGGAGCCACCTCAGCGTGTACAGTCTGGCGATAATACTTGACTTTTAGTGACTAGTAGGCAAACTTGTTTTTGATCTTGGTAGTCGTCTGCAGCCACAATTTTTCTTGAATTGTGACTTTTATATGCTAAATGTTTGCACTAATTATGATTTTTCACTACTTTTTTCCACTTATAAATATCAATATAAGCTTGAATTAAAAAAACTTGGTGTTTGCAAGCCAGGTAGGCATGAGGCTTTTTCTGCAGAACACATTTCATGTGAACATGTATATAGGCTGTAAAGCCCCCTCTCCCTTCTTTTATGAGAAATTACATTAATTGAGTACTGGTACTAGTAATATCTCACTTTGTGATAAAGGATTTATAATAATTGTGTGTGTGTGTGCAAATCAAGAAAGATGAAACAATCAAACAATGTTGAACGCTCAATTGCAATTGGCACTACTGCCAGTAAATGAGTTAGCAAAACTATCTGCTAGTATTTTACTTTGAATTTATATGGAAAAGTCAAATAGTGATAAATACACAGCCTAAACTTGACTTTAAATATATTAATTTCAGAGGTCTCGGAACTAATTTCGGAACTTTAGTATTGATCAATGGTTGATATTTGCATTGTTATTTCTATTCTTGTTTAAAATGCATGTATATGTCCCAGTTGCTGGTTCTGAATTATCTATGCTTACTGTTAGACAAAATACATTTTAATTTTTAGCACAAAATCCATGGCATAATGGAGAAACTACAGAAAATTTTCTTCTGAAGTACATGCATTGGCTTTAGGAAATGACAGTGACGAAGAAAGCGTTTCTTTGCATCCTGTCCAAAGTAATTTGTTTGAATCCCAGAATTCCACCATTAGTGATCAATCTGGTATTAGTGGTCACTCTGATATTAGTGGTCAATCTGATATTGACTCTGACGGACTAGATTTAGTTATTGATTCTTCTGATTCAAGTCAAAGTGAGGTTGAAAGTGCTCCTCCTAGCCCACTCCCTTCTTCAGATGTAACTTTGAAAAACGAACTAGCTGCTTGGGCTACCAGAAACCGGTGTACTCGCGATTCACTAAATCAACTGCTTCAGATATTTAATTTGCACGGCCATAGCTTGCCAATGGATGGCCGCACTCTTTTGCAGACTGCCAGGAATATAACAACCCAGATGAAGTGTGGTGGTCAGTACATTTATTTTGGAATAGAAGCTGGTATTGTCCAGATTTTATCGAAGTATTCATCTGCTGTTGATAGATTAGGTGATATTGATTTGGTCGTTAATGTTGATGGTCTTCCCCTTTTTAAGTCAACGAATCACCAGTTTTGGCCAATTTTGGGTCGATTTAATAATCTTGAGGTTTTTGTAATTGGGTTGTTTTATGGAAATACGAAGCCAGTTCCTGTTGGGGAATACTTGCAAGATTTCATTGAGGAGGTCAATAAACTAAATGATACCGGAATTACACATGAAGGGAGGAACTACAAATTTGTAGTGAAATGTTTTTGTTGCGATGCCCCTGCTCGTTGTTACCTGAAATGCATTATTGGTCACACCGCCTACTTTGCATGCGAACGATGCACCATGAAAGGTTCATGGGATGGAAGGGTTGTTTTTGATGCCGATAATGATGCAGCTGTTCTGCGTACTGATGAACTTTTTTTGTCCTGTTCTTATGAAACCCATCAGAAACAACCTTCTCCTCTCTTGTTGTGCGGTGTTTCATGTGTTAAGCAATTTAGCTTAGATTATATGCATATGGTTTGTCTTGGCGTCACAAAACGTATACTGCACTACCTCAAGAAGGGGCCTCGTAAGTGTAAATTGTCTTCCCAACAGTTTTCACAAATATCAGATAATTTGAAAGCTTTACGAGGTGCAATGCCTAGCGAGTTTGCCAGGCAACCAAGGTCACTTGTCGAACTTGAAAGGTGGAAAGCAACAGAATTTCGTCAGTTCCTGCTCTACACTGGACCTGTTGTATTGAAGAATGTGGTGTCAAAAGATATTTATCAGCATTTTCTTTGTTTGTCTGTTGCAATTTCAATCTTGTTGGACTCTGACAACAATAAGCGAAATTCACACTTGGCACTTGCACAGGATCTGTTGCACTACTTTGTAAACAATGCAAAGCATGTTTATGGAAACACTTTTACATTGTACAATGTTCACAGCTTGAAGCACCTGCCTGAGGACGTACGGTATTTTAAGTGCTCTTTAAATGAGATTTCAGCCTTTCCGTTTGAAAACTTTATGCAGCATTTGAAGAAGTGTGTAAGGAACGGGCAAAATCCGATTGTCCAAGTGGCTAAGCGACTAGGAGAGAATATGGATGCAGGTGCAAAGCAACATGTTACCTCAAATTTTTCCAAGATAGGAACAGTATCTGATAACATCAAGGACAGTTGTTTTTTGCTAGAAGGAAACAGATTTGCCTTTGTTCAGGAGCAAAGAAGCAACGGGACATTTGTATGTAACATTCTTGATGATCGTCAGTTAGAAAACTTTTACTCCAGCCCAGCAGAATCAAAGGTTTTAAACGTGAATTATGTTCGAGATACGCATCACAAAGCAAAGCGTGTTCTTTTGGAGGCATCATCGTTTATACGCAAAGCTGTTTGTTTGCCAGTTAGTGAAGGACATGTGCTTTTCCCATTGCACCATGAAGTGGAAAGATGTTAACTTGCAGGTTACTGACTCTGTTACATTTCATTTGTTGCATGTAAGTAGCCTACTGTAGTTGACACTCTAAACATATAAATTTAGCGAATAAAATTAGCTAAAAATGTAGAGCTGGCAACTTTGTAACATCATAACTTACTTACATACTTAGAAATTTTTAATTTTAAAACTGATTGTCTGTACTACTTTTGTCTTTACTCTTTAGGCTAAAAGATGACCTGGGCACGAGCAGTGTGGATAGAAAATGATGTGGAAGAAGAAGGCGTTCTTCCAAAAGTCTGGATTGAGGATAAAACGGTGCGGTGGCCAACTGGAGTGAATGTGATGAGAGCATTTACTCAACAAAAAATACCTGAAGATAACTGGGAATCTTTTCCTTTGGTGAAAGTTAAATTGACCTCAGGTTTGTGTGGCCAACAGTGAAATAGGTGTTATTAATTTGTACAGTTTTATTAATAGTATTTCAATTCACACCATACATATACGTGTAGGTTTTGGTCTATGAAACACAAATAGTGCTCAACAACATATAGTTAGAGCAAATTATAGATTTCGCTCACGTCAAAACTAATCTGCTAATGTTTCATCTGTGAAGGACTGTCTGATGAATATTCACAGATGAAACAGACTGTAGGCTTACCTCAAAACTATAAATATCATTATATAGAAGATGTAAAGGCATGCGAAGAATATGACTTCACAACTGGTGCCGAAGTAAGCGATGAGGTAGATGTGTCAACAAGTCGCAGTAAACGGAAACGTAGCGTCGCCGTCAGTAAGAATTGTTCTTCAGGTTTGTCTACATTATATAAAGTTATTTCAGGATTTGTGAATTGTACGTTAATATTACACCAAATATATATTGTACAGTCTCGTATTTTGATTAGCTATAATTGTGATAAATATGGACCACATTTATGTATAAACCTGGATGAACATCGGATAATGAGTTGTATTGTAGTTTACTGAGGTTACATACAATGTATATACCATATTTACTATCAGTTAAAGTGTGACTAACACCTTTGACAAATTTTTCTATGTATTATTTGGGTTATTTAATGAAGAAATGTCAAATGTGTATACTTTTTCACTCTCAAACTTTTGAATATGAGGTAATTATATAATTAGGGACTTGTTAATTACCATCACTAGACAAAAGAAAACTAATTTGCATTTTTCTTACAATGACCTCATAATAAAAAGTTTGAGAGTAAAAAAGTCTATCAAGAAGAACTTTTTTGTTATAGAGCTTTATTACATTTCTTTAAATGATCCAAATAATACATAGACTAAAATTTGTCTAAGGTGTTAAAATGTAACCTGCTTTTTTAACTAGGCAGCCTTCCACCATTGCCGCGATTTCGTCCAAGTCTTGCTCTACAGAATGGCTTTGACGTAATTGACAGTCTTACCAAATCACTTGACAAGTCTAACTCCCCAGCCAAGGCCTCGCCCAGCTTGGATTTCGATAATTTGGGACCGTCTTCTTCTGAGGAATCTGAGCATCTGATCCAGACCCCCAAAAGAAGGAAGAGTCAACCAGGTAACAGTAGCATTCGTACGCCTGGATCCTCCCGAGTTGCACCAAAGAAATCAAGAAAAGGTGTTGCAACGAGTGACAAAGAGCGCCCTTCAGCATCTCCATTCCCAATGCCAGAAGCACGTAAGTATAATAATGAATATATATTTTTTGTATCAGGTGTTTATTTTTCCTTATTGTTACTTTTCTGCCCATTAAGCATGCACTGACTATACATATTAACCGTGTGAGGTTTAATTGTACGATCCTGAAGTAATAAATAATATATTAATCATATTATTAAACTGAACGACAAAATATAAAGCAATTAAGTTAAACCTCGCTCTTGTAGCTTTTTAGTTTGTTTTTTTAATTTTGTCATAATAGCTACTACATCATTTAACAATTTCTTAACCAAGTAATTGCTTAATTATTTATTAGGGTTTCAAATTATTGTTTCAAAGTTTCAAATCAAATTATTGTAAACATTGAATAATAAAACAGCAAGAGTGCGAACTGGACTCGAAGTCCTATAGTCCAGTGTGAATTTCAAGCAATTGACATGTTTACTTTCTGTTTATATAGTACTGTATGTTTGTAGTTTTAAAGGTATAGTGCATGTCTCACATGGGACTTCGAGTCCAGTTCACACTCTTGCTGTTTGGTATTATTTAGTTCAATAATGTCCATATGTTTAATAATGTTTACTATCCGTTATTATAATTAGAAATATTCTTATGAAAGTATTAATAGAGAAAATACTTAAATAGTTTTAACACTTGTCAACTACGGAATTTGATTACTTCCATTTTATCACAGGTTTTCAAAAAAGGGTACTTCATCTCCTAACCGAAATCCGAGACAGCTTGCAGCGAGTTGGAAAAACATTTGAACCAGCAGATTCCGCATTTCATTTGGAGCAATTAAAAACTAAGGAAGAATTTTGCAAGATGGAAGAGCATCTTCGTGATGTGGAAAAAAAAGTATTGTTTAAAATAATACAATGCCGTTTTTTAGACGGCACCGATCGTGAAGTGCTTATACTGATTGGTTCCAATACCTACATCTAACGCAATCAAAACCCGTTATAATTAACCCTTCACATAAAACTGTAAGAATCCACCTTAATTATTACGTACCATTATGATCTTATACATTTTACTGATGTATCGATCGACTTGCATTGTCGTTTTAGAAAGCGTGTTAAAGAATTTTAATTGTAATGAAAGCGAAGTCGCCGAAAGCGTAAAAAGATTTCTAAAGTATGCCCCAGATAGAAAAGGCAGGGAAAGAAGTAAAGCAAAGAAAAAGGAGGACTAATAAAAGCTTATCTATGCGTTGTGATGTGTACATATTTCTAATTATTTATTTCAAATAAATATTGCATTAAACTATTTTGGCAAGTGCTCGTTAATTTTTACTTTGATCGATGTGCTATTGACGTCCGAAATCAGGTAAAATGCACATTGATTCCACGTATAATTGTCAAACACATTACTGATCGAGTTGACGTTGACAATTAGACGACGAATCGATATGCATTTTCACCTGATTTTAAACGTTGATACGAAGTCGATTGTCTGTCGATTCCCAGACGTTGAAACGACGTCGATTCTGACTACGTTGAAACGACGTCGATTTCCCAACGTCGATTCCATTTGCGTTTTCAACCCTTTTTCGACGTCGTTTCGACGTCGATATTCTAACGTCTAAACGACACGACGTCGATTCCCAGACGTTACGTCGTTTCGACGGGGATATTCTAACGTCTAAACGACGTCGATTTCCAGACGTTGAAACGACGTCGATTTCCCAACGTCGATTCCGTTTGCGTTTTCAACCTTTTTTCGACGTCGATTCGACGTCATCCTCTGACGTCGTTTCGACGTCCGACGTCATCCTCTGACGTCGTTTCGACGTCGAATCTTCTAACGTCGTTTCGACGGGGATATTCTAACGTCTAAACGACGTCGATTTCCAGACGTTGAAACGACGTCGATTTCCCAACGTCGATTCCGTTTGCGTTTTCAACCTTTTTTCGACGTCGATTCGACGTCATCCTCTGACGTCGTTTCGACGTCGAATCGACGTCGATTTGCCGGCTGGGATAGATGCCTAAAGGCTTCTATAGGGAATTGTAACATTTCCTATAGGCACCTATAGGCCACCTATAGACTTTTTTCGTAAGGGTTCTCAAGTTGCGGAACTATTATTGTTCGATGCTGAATTAATATAAACGAATAATAGGAAATATAAATGTCTGTGTATAGTTCATTATTACCAGTCGTCAATCCGTCCTGACCGTGTAGCTCAGTATATCGTATCGATCTAGTAATTCCAATGTCGCGGGTTCGAAACCCAGTCGCGGCTGGCAAAGTTTTGTGCTTGCGCTCGGTCTGTAAATTATGAAATATCTCACTAGAAAATATGCGTTAGGTTCGACAGGGAATTAATTAAGTGTCTCTTGTGTCAATGTAAATTTGTGAGTTTTGGCAACCTATCCATTTTCATGCTATAAACATGTCATATATTTAGTTTCCGTATCTTCCGGATCTGAAGTATTTGGAAATCTTTTCCTATGTGGTATTAGTTCTGATAGCAGCCACATCGGCTTCATCTAAAATATTACCTATACATTGAACTTCGCGTCTTAGTTGAAATATATTAATTTGAATAGGTTTCGTTGCGCAGCAATTCGATTGTTTTGTAATAGTGCGGACGGCGAAATCGAATCGGTGTAACTGTTTTAATAATACTTTGGGACATTTTACGTAATTAATTAGAACAATTAATATGTGTTACGACTATACTGGTGTAAAGAAAAAAATATTATGATAAAATGTCAAATTCAAAGGAATAACGAATAAAATTACCTCGCTAATTGTGGTCCACAGACAAATTGCAAAAGGTTCGCAAGGCAAAATGTCAATTCCGCTGTAATAAATTTCCTCTGTATAAAACATTAAAGTTTCAGCGTTAGTCGCACATACACCATAACGCCACCAGTAACTTTATAATATTATGACAAAATGGCCCGCTAGTGGAATTATAGAAGCCAGCCTACATTATAAGGATTAACATAGCTAATACAACAGCTGGGGCCTGAGAGAGATATAAGTACCTGAAAACTATAGACAGAACATGGACGTGACAAACTTCGCACGAAAAGGCGAAGTTCTTTTTGTATTTTTCAGGCATGCGGTTAAAGGTTTTGTATCTCGCTCTCACCACGCAAAGCTGTTTGTTATCGTCGTGGAGGTATACTGGCACCGACTGCACGAGAATAACAGGAACAGTTTGAAATAAATATCACTGGCATAAGAAAATTATATATATGGCCATTAATATTTTCTCTGCCATGTGCCAGCCTGTTTCAAGTTGTTCTCCACATGTCTTTCATGACCTCATTGAATTCTAAGTTCAACTGCATTGAATCTTTTAAATATGTTTGAAACGAAACCAGGATTATTTATAACAAGGTTTTAGACGTTCTCTGGTTTTAAATATTTATTATTACGCGCTTTCGACTGCCAGTCTGCAGTCTTCAACGGGTGGATTACAATGAGAGTGTGACAATTACAACGGTTTACAATTACATATCGATACAAAATGACAGAAATATGACAGTTCCTCCTACATACAAGATTAATGACATAAATTACATGTAGATAGATTCAGAGTTTTTTTGCTAAGTAGAAAGTGGTATTGTTCCGGTAAAATATTTTGAATCTCAAGTAGATTATTGCCTGGGTCTAGCTTAAAATTACCATTAAAACACTTAAATGGCCATAAAACCTTAGGGAATCCATATTTTGCGCAGAAATTAACAGTGCTTAACCACAGTGGTCAGAGCTTGAAACTTAAACATTTAGGGTTTCCATAGCAACATGTCACGTGACATTTCCGGTGATTTAAAGGAAAATATCGTCACTAATTTCCTACGGCTTTGCGGACTCGGAAAATCGTAATAAAGATTCTCGCTTTTGTAAATTTTAAACACCTTAGTGTCTTAACTTCACGTTTCTCTGTTATTAAAATCCCAAAGTCAATAGTACCCTTGAGAGTTGAAATAACTCAAGATATAATTGATTTTTGGATTTTAAGAACAAATGGCATCCATGATCAAAGGTTAGAAACGTAAAGTTAAGACACTAATGAACAATATATACTATACCAATGGAGTTAAGAACTATATAAACCAAGAACTATCGGAACGTCGTCGAATTTAAGATTGTCCTGTGCTGGTGACCTTGCAAGTTTAAGAACGTTCGTAGAAGATAACCTTAAATTACAAGGAACTTGGTCATCACCAGCAGGCGAAAAGAAAGTATTTGTAACAGAGAATCTTAAAATTCTATGGTTTAAGAATAAGAAGTTTCTTACAATCGAAGGAGAAGATGCAAACAAGATTATTAAATATTTGACGGGTACTATGTGTACTAGTAATGATGTAGATAATGTAAATGCAATTGGGAACAAAGCGACGAATGCCGTGGACTGTAGCGATGAAACCCCGGCAGAGAATCATCATTCTTCGGCTTGTGTATGTTCGGAATTGTCGCCGGAATTGGATTTAGTTATCTTGGAATCGAAGTTCGGCCATAAAATCCAGGCTATTGAGGAAAAACTTCTACGTATGAATGAATACCATTATGGTAATTCTACTGAGAAAGCATTATCAATGGAAACAATAGTTATTAACGACAGCGGAAACAATGCGAAGGAGTTGAGTGAGTATGGTCATTTCAATAAGAATGCCTCAACATTAACTTAAACGACTAACGACATAATAGGCGGATCTCCTGAAGCGGGAGAGAAGAATAAAAATGCCCAACACAATGATCAACTGTTAGACGATTCACATACACTATTAAATGATATATCTCTACACAAAGATCTCAACCGCATGCTGATAACATAATGATCATCTCAATTGTCGGTATAAAAGATGTTTCTTTTGAAGCGGGAATAAAAGAAAATCATGTCCAAAATAATGACAAACAGTTGGACGGTTTACATACACCTTTAAACGATATTTCCTTACACAACGATTCTAATAACAATCTCAGTAATCCCCAATTAAGAAATGCCGCGAATAGAAAGGTATACATTCCTCATTACAACCAGTTATGTAGAAACAATGAAAACAATAATCTTAACGAACAGGTTTTTCTTATAGCACCTACTTCGACGTCGGCGTCTTCCTCATGTGACATTGGTCTGAGTAACGGTAACGATGGAAACGCCTGAAATGATGGAGTATTGAATAAATTATATAATATACATAGAAGACAACGGTCCCCCCATAACCATGTACAAGTCCAGTGCAATTCTCCCAAGGAATTGCGCCTGAAAAATCTCCCCCAAATGTTATGTCTAGTCAATCACCCTTAGAACCAGTTAACCGTCACGGTGGCCGGACATTTTGCCGAAAGACACTTAACTATCTATTACCTAATGTAATGTCTCTGGTGCCAAAAGTCGATGAGCTGGCTTTAGTTGTAGGAAATCACAATCCTGATATTATTTGTATCACAGAAACTTGGTTAAAAAACCAAATACCGGATGATGTCGTCCAAATTCATAATTATGCTTTGCTACGACGAGATAGGAAAGAAAGAGAACATGGTGGTGTTTGTCTGTATATAAAAAATAGCTACTCTATTAGCGTTCTTGATGTCCCAAATGAACTGAATGTGAAGTCCTGTGGGCTATAATTAACTCTCGACGCCTCCCAAGAGGATATGCTAAACTCGTTATAGGAGTATTGTACCATCCACCCGGTGCTAATAAATCACTTATGCTGGAACACCTGCAATCATCCTTGGAGGTGATGGAAACTAAATACCCAAACTGCGGAATACTTTTAATTGGTGGCTTTAATAAATGGCTTACTCAGCAGCTAACTCGACATTTCCATCTTAAGCATATAGTTGATTTTCCAACAAGGGGGTCGAGTAAACTGGACTTAATCCTAACCAATTTTGCTGACTTCTACGACAAACCATATAGTATACCACCGTTTGGGCTGTCAGATCACCTAACTATCCTTGCATTTCCCAATATTCGAACTAAAGAGACGCGGAGTAAAAAGGTAATTTATGCTCGCGACAAAAGACCTAGTAGTATAAGGCGTGTAGGGAAATTTCTCTCTGAAGTCCCATGGGATTTTATGGTATCCTCCAATCGATCATGTGAAGAAAACTTAAATAATTTTACTGGTATTATCAACTACGCTTTGGATACCTTAAAGAATCATTGTCAACTACAATGCATTGCGCGCTCGTGTTTGTTTATACATACGGGAACTGTGCAATTAAATATGATAATTATTCGCGTGATATGATAAGTAACTTCGCTGCTAGCCTGCCTGCTATTACAGTATTACTTGAAAGCCTTCGCAAATAAAGAGAAATGTCTGACTCCGATTCCGATTCAGATTTAAATGTTTCACGTTATGATCCGGAAGATAATTTAAATATGTACGGTTCGCCAGTTTATACGGAACAGCCTGAGAATAACGATATTATTGACGAGGAACAACCTGGGCCGTCGAATGTTGTCCTTGACCGACCAAATAGACGAAGTCAAGTAAGTTGAATATTTGTATTCTTTGGATGCGCTAAAACCTACATTCATGAAATTCTGATAGGTTTTTTGTCAAATGCATTAAATATTCTAATCTGAATTGTTGTTTTACGTTACAGTTCTGTAGCTGCAAGAACACTTGCAGTAAAGGCAGCGGCAGAAAGAAACGTGGTTGTCCTTGCCGTAACGATGGTTTGCGTTGTGCCGACATGTGCAAGTGTGGCACTAAAAAGGCGAGCTGCAAAAATAAGGATTGTGCAAGCGGCGAAGCTGATCCCCAGAATGCCAACGCTGGCCGAAATGCCTTTGAACGCCACCAGATCGCCGTGGAAGAAGCAAAACAACAAATTACGGTGAGCGACTGAGGCTTGTACATACACGATACAATATTGTAGTATGATTCTCAAACTGTATACTTGGGCCACATGCCCCCAAAGTTACCTACATGTGATAAAATTTTTGTATTGTCACTGTTTACGTGCATAACAAAGTACATATATTGTAATAGAAATTCATTGGCACACTGGATGAAGGACAAAAGGACAGAGTTCTCCTAGAACTACTTTCAAATGGAAAAGGGAGCTTGGATTATGCAAAGAATATTGTGGAATTTGGTGGTATTGTTCCTTCTCTACCTCCTACTAAGCCATCCTGGTGCACTTGTGGTGTTTGCCGGCCAATGCCCACTGAGGAGGAAAATAAATGCTGTGGTAAAATCAGGTGTGTCACATCATTTGTAACATTTCAGAACACTTGTACCGACAGAGATGTTCTAGTCATGGCAATCAGAGGGCGGTGTGACATCAGAGCCGAAGAACCCGAGTATTCTACTAACAGTTTCAGAAAGGCTGCTTATCGCCAATACATCTTGTGGAGATACAAGAAATTAGGAAGGGGAAATAGAAGGGTGTGTCCTTCTTGTGTGGTACTTGCAATAAGGCAATTGTACCCTGCACAGGATGGAATATACATGGGATTTAAAAGAGCATGAGCAATTAGTTGCACAGTTACAGGTGTCACTAAATATTTTGTTGTGAGATACAAAGTGGTAAATCCAAGTAAAGATAGATTTTATTCACCTACATTTTAATTAGTCCCTTATATTGTCTTTCTAGAAGATAATTAACCCTTTAGCCCATTGAGTGGCAGCACTCTCCACTTGACAAATAAAATCATCTGGCACTAGACAGAGTAAAATACTGAAGTAGGGCGCATCTGGGTGCATTGCCACTTAAAGCCTGGTTCACATATGCCTGCGACTGTATCATTATGCCTCTACTTGCCGCAGAAATACCGGCAAAGTTGAACTCAAGTCAACTTTCCCGGCCTACCGCCGATGTAACTGTGGCACTGGAGGCAATCGGCGAACAAATATTCACAGAATTTACGTTTTAAGCTACCACCGGCATCGTCGCCGGTACGTCGCAGGCATATATGTGAACCAGGCTTACAGTAAAAGGTTAATGCACAATGCGCCCTAATTTAGTATTTACTCTGTCTAATGCCAGACAATTTTACTCGTCAACGGATGAGCCTTGGACATTAAATCTTTATTACAATTGTGTATATTATATGTGCACCAACATTTTAGCAACATATGACCACAGCATTATTGTATGCTTGTGAAAATTTTAATATAGTCCTTGAATAACCCCTCGGACATTTCATATTTACAATTACATTATGTACACCAGTTTAATTATTAAACAATGATTAATTCATGACCAAGAGATATGCAACAAAACACATTTCATTTGTAACTTTGTCACTAAGGCCAATCTGAAAGTTAATATTGTTTATCACCAACCATTTTCAAAATAACAGTGTGGGATTTTTCATTATTCATTCTTTTTTACCAATCAAA